CCACCAATCCCCCGGCGGCGCACGCATCAAACTCCCCCTAGAAACCGGCACCCACTTCGACGACATCGCCGCCCAACTCGAAGGCTTCGCCCGCCCCTTCTGGGCCATCGCCACCCTCCTACACGCAAACCTCCTGTCCGCCGCCGACTCCGCCGAGCTCGTGGAACCGTATGTGCGCGGACTAGCGAATGGGACGGACCCGCAGCACGACGAGTACTGGGGCCCTGTTGTGCTGCGGGATCAGCGCATGGTGGAGATGGAGATTGTAGCGTTTGCGTTGCTGGCTGCGCCGGGGGAGTTGTTTGAGGTGCAGAGTGGTGCGGTGCGGGCGCGGATTACGAAATGGTTGGGGACGATCAACGGTAAGGATTTTCCGACGACGAATTGGTTGTGGTTTCGGGTGATGACGAATCTGGCGCTCGTCAAGGTGTGCGGTGTACCGCGGGAGGAAGGGCTACAGGCTATGCGGGCTGATCTCGAGCTCATGGAGGCGTTTTATCTGGGGGATGGGTGGGCGGCGGATGGGGTGTGGAGTGAGGGGGGGCGGCAGGCGGATTATTATTCTGGCAGTTTTGCGATACAGTTTTCGCAGCTGGTGTATGCGAAGTTTGCGTGGGATTTGGATCCGGAGCGGTGTGAGAGGTTTCGGGAGAGGGCTGTGGAGTTTGCAGGGTCGTTTTGGAGGTATTTTGATACGAATGGTGCGTTTGAGCAAAGCATTCATTTCTTCATCTCTTCTCATGTCACATCATTTTCCCCCTTCACATCCCTATCCTCATCCCCATAGCCAGTCCTAACACACCCCAACTAGGCGCCGCCATCCCCTTCGGCCGCAGTCTAACTTACCGCTTCGCCTTCGCCGGCTTCTGGTCCGCCCTCGCCTTCTCCGGGATTCCCGATTCCTCTCTCCCCCACCCCCTAAACACCCCCGGCACCATCAAAGGCCTTTTACTCCGGCACTTCTCCTGGTGGCGGGCCCATCCCTCAATGTTCAACGTCGACGGAACACTGACGATTGGCTTTGCGTATCCAAACATGTACATGAGTGAAGACTACAACAGCCCGCAATCTGTGTACTGGGCTTTGAAATCCTTCATCGCGCTCGGAGTGCCTGCTAACCATGATTTCTGGACTGAGCCGGCACGGCCATTTCCACTATTATCACGAGGAGACGAAGAGAAAGAAGGAGGAGAGAAAGAAGAAAGGATCAAGCTCCTCAAACAACCACACCACATCCTCATCAACGGAACAAACCACCACTTCCTCCTCAACAGCGGCCAATTCTGCCCCTGGCCCCTCAAAGCCACAGAAGCCAAATACGGCAAATACGCCTACTCATCGCACTTTGGCTTCTCCGTGCCCACGGGACCCTTGCTCGCACAACTCGCTCCCGACAGCACGCTGGCCCTCAGCCGAGACGACGGCGAGACATGGCGCGTGCCGTGGAAGCTAGACGGCGCAGGGCTGAAGACGGGAACCGCGACGTTGCTGTGTAGCGGCGGGGCCGCCGCGGCGCAGAACGAGGACGTTGACGTTGTTGTGGCCACGATGCCCACGCTACACAGCACGTGGAAGCCGTGGAAAGACGCAGAGATCGAGGTCCAGACCATCCTTGTACCGCCGTGTACGCGCTGGCCCGACTGGTACGTGACGCACCACCGCATCACGCAGTCTGGGGCGCAAAAGCTCGGGCTGCGTGTTGTGCAAGGGGGCTTTGCGATTCAAGGGCGCGGTCAGGCGCGCGGCGAGGTTTTACCTGCGTACGGCGATGTCGAGATGCTGAGGGGTGACGGTGGAGTGAAGAGTCCGTCTAGTTGCCTGGAGGGGACGTACAAGTCCCGGGACAACGAGGCCGCGGATGTCGGGGGTGCACTCGTGCTATCGGATGCTGGGGCGAGCGGGATTAGGCGGTTGGACATGTCGTCGATGCCGGAGGGGGCATGCACGTCTTCGTGCCATGATATCCTTAAGCCGGATGCAAATACCAATCTCATATGGCAGCGCACGTTGATTCCGACCGTGCAGTTTGAGACGGAGCCTGGGTTTCAGGAAGTGGAGTTTGCGACGGGTGTGTTTGCTTTGGCGCGGACGGAGGATCGCAAGGCGCGGTATGATGGTGTGTTGGATGTGGTCGGGTTGTGGGGGGATGGTCCTGTTGTTGGGGCGCGTGGAGGGAGCGAGCGTGAGAACGAGGGAGAGAAAAGGGGTTATTGGATCAGAGTTGAGTAACAGCAATACTCCAAGCAAACTAAATCAAACATAAACAAAGTCCTACAACCTACAAATAAAATCCCATTGTATACCTATGCAATATTAAGGTATTTTATTATCAACATCTCCGACACTACCACGCCTAAAACAAAAAGGGCTATTAGATCAAGCTCAAGCTCAAGTAACAGTCAATTGTAATACTCCAAACAAAGACTTCAAGTGTGGTTTAAAACTTACTTGTAGAATGCATCACATTACCTCTAGTCCGACGTCATCAGATCAGTTATACCATCACTCGATTCATCACTCAGCCCTTGAGCTGACTTTCAAACACACATGTCATCTCACCTGGGAACAGATAGGGAGAAAAATTGTCTCGTCATGAAAAAAAGGTATCATTTGCGCTTTTGAATTCCTTCCAGCCAATGTAACTTATTTCCCTCTTCCCAATGCTCGACCTCAAAGGTCTTGAGAAAAAGAAAACATGCGCCGACGCCACAAAAAGCCAGCTCATCCCATCTACACATTGATCATTAAAGTTGTATATCGTTTTCAAACCCAGCATGCCAACTCTATGCACCAAAGATGACCATTTACTTGGTGTTCTCTGGGCGAAGGGAGCGGACAGCCTTGCCAGCGCGCCAGATCTCGAGGTTGTCAATCTCCTTGAGCTCCTCGTTGTACTTCTCACGGTAGTCGGGCTGGCTGTTGTACTCGAGCGAGCGCTTCGTCTCGCTGCCGTTCTCGACAGAGGTGTACAGGTCGTCAAAGACGGGCTTGAGGGCATCCTTGAAGCGCTTGCTCCAGTCGATAGCACCACGACGAGCGGTGGTAGAGCAGGCGGCGTACATGTAGTCCATGCCGTGGGCGCCGATCAAGGGGTACAAAGATTGTGTAGCCTCCTCGACGGTCTCGTTGAAGGCCTCAGAGGGGCTGTGGCCGCGCTCACGGAGAACTTCGTATTGAGCAAGGAACATGCCGTGGATACCACCCATAAGGCAGCCACGCTCACCGTAGAGGTCGGAGTAGACCTCCTTCTCAAAGGTGGTCTCGTACATGTATCCAGAACCGACGGCAACACCGAGGGCGGTGGCCTTCTCCTTGGCCTTGCCAGTGACGTCTTGGAAAACGGCGATGGAAGAGTTGATACCGCGGCCCTCACGGAAGAGGGAGCGGACGGTGCGGCCAGAGCCCTTGGGGGCAACGAGGATGACGTCGACGTCCTTGGGGACTTCGACCTTGGTGAGGTCCTTGAAGACGGGAGAGAAACCGTGAGAGAAGTATAGAGTCTGAAAATGTGAGTTTGTGTGACTAGTGACTTTCATATGACATTTTGCTTACCTTGCCCTTGGTGATCTGGGGCTTGATGTGGGGCCAGGTCTCGGATTGGGCAGCGTCAGAAAGAAGGTTCATGACGATAGTGGACTTGCCAATGGCCTCGTCGATCTCGAAGAGGTTCTTTCCGGGAACCCATCCGTCTTCCATGGCCTCCTTCCATGACTGGCCGCCCTTCCGGACACCGACAATGACATTGAGGCCATTGTCACGGAGGTTGAGACCCTGGCCGTGACCCTGGGAGCCGTAACCGATGAGAGCAAGAGTGTCGTTCTTGAAGTATTCCTAGAATGAATTGTCAGCTGGAGATTCCAACGAGGTCCTGTGTGGTGCCATTGAGGCGGGCAAAGACTTACAAGAAGCTTCTCCTTGGGCCAGTCAGCACGCTCTGTCATCATTCGTTAGCTTTCCATTCAATTGCACGAGAACCGGGCATATCTCCTGCCTTACCGTAGACAGTCTCCTTGGTGCCGGCAAAGTCAATCGTCTTGACACCACGTGTCTGCTGGAACTGAGCAGTAACAGCAGCCCTGGGAGCAGCCTTGGAAGCACCCGCACGCAGAGCAGACACAAAAGTGCGCTTCTGGGCGGGGGTAGCTACCAATTGCCTGGCAGTTTGGCGGAGGGCACGGGCAGCTGGTCTTGAAGCCATTGTGAATGTGATGTGTGGGTGGAAGAGAGGGCAAAAGAGGTTTCTGTGGGAGGGGGAAGACGAGCTTTTAACCTTTATTTGTATATTCTCTGGCTGGAATGATTTTGGCCCAACCCCGGAGCTCCAGCCTGGGTCTCCGACCTTCGGATGGCAGACGTTCGCCAGTCGGCCCAATCAGAGCTACTACATTGACCGCCACCTCCAGCGCTAGCAAGGGGGGTCCGAGAACTCGTCGGGGAGGAAATCGCTTCTCCGAGAAGAGGCCTGGGCGCCCATCTGCAATGACGACGGCGGAGAACAGAGTGCTTCTGTGGGACAAGTCGTTGGGCAATCTGCACTAGAGTATGCTTCCAAAGCACCGAGGCGGTAGAGTATCATGTATCATTGCCGATGAACAAGCATCTTTGCTTCCTTCGACTGCATCCTCCATCTCCACTTGGACTTTGCATTCAGATAGCGTGGGTGTACGGAATGCTTGTGTCCTTGGGCTGGCTGCTCGCCTGGCTGACGGATGCCAGAAGCTAGCGTAGACTGGACGCTTCACAGGCACGGCTTCACGGTTCCATGTTGTAGAGTAGCAGTTCATGATCCTTGGTATATGCATATGTACAGCTGTGTGATGCTACTAAATCCAATAAATAGACGCCGGCCCTTGGACGCCACGCTTGATACATGGACGCTGTACGCCATGCTCTTATGCTCGCTGACATTATGACGTGACGTTCCCCTCCACAGGTGTCTGCTCCAGTGTCTTCACTTGCGAACCCCACCCCCCCCCCCCCCCCCCCTCCATCGACGTTCCTTATCTCGTGGTTCAGACGTCACCCTGCAAACGCTTAGCCTGTAGCTGGTCTAGTACAGGCTTGAACTTGTTCGTGTAGTGCCAGATTGTATTCATTTGAGCACGCGATCAAAGCTCTGTCCTTTGACGATGCCGCCACCGAGAGATGCCCGCACGTTACGTTTGAAGAGTTCGCGATTCGCCTTGAGATCTTCCGCGGCCTCCTTATTCAGTGGATCCGACGCATTTGGTTCGAGGAAGAGGAACTAGAATCCTGTCAGCACCGCATCCGTGCTATTGATCACCGTCCCTCCACATCGCACATACCTGTAAACCAACGACCACGGCATTCAAGTTGAGCACCGGCTTCCAGTCTTCTCGCAGAATGTTCAGACACACATTGCCCTCTAGATCTATGTTGGGGTGGTAAATCTTCTGCGTGCACTTGACCTTTGGCGGGTCATGTGGGAAGTTCTGGTTGATTTTGAAATCAAACTTGAAATGCCCGCCCTTGTACATGCCTTCGTCCGGGTCAATCGTGAGTTCGAAGTTGAGGATATCATCGGGGTTAGGGAAGTGCGTCTTCATCGTTGAGCCGAGAGAGAGTTCTTCGAGATCTGAGAACGGTCATCAGCACAGGAGCGGATTGGCTTGACAAGTAGAGAGGCCACACGTACCTTTCTGTGCGCGGAGTTGAGCAGGCGTCACCTTCTTCTTCTTGCTTGTGGCTGCCTCCGCAGCCTCATCTTGCTGTTGCTTCTTCTTCTGTCATCATTGTTAGCACCCTCAAAACCGCCACAGACTTGTACATCCTCTTGTCAGCACGTACCATGGACCATATTTTCATCATCTTGCCGGTATTGTATGCGCAAGTTTCCAAAACCTGCTCTTGGGGGTATGTGTCGCGTGTAATAGAGAAGTCTAGTCGAGGTGCGTTGTCAACCGTGGGGCAGTCAGGTCAGGGTGAGGGATCGAAGAGGCAATAGGCGCAGTAGGAGAAAAGTGAGGTGATGGATCTAGATTGCAGAGTGAACGCTGGAAACAGACAAACGCCTAGCCTAGAAGACGCGCAGTGAAATTGGGTATCCGTTGGAAATATTTGGCTTCAGGCACACATGCAGGCTACGATCTTGGGACTGGTGACGAGCGTGGGGCGAGGAAGAGGCGCTAGACCGCCGACATGCCGACATGGACGCTTAGTCAGATCAAGGGTCCTTTTAGTAAACGAGCAACACTTCTCCGTCATGTCCTGATTACTCATGTTGTCTTTCTGTTAACTTGCAATTCAAGACGTTACCATTCTGGGTCTATTAACATTCTACACGACAAGGTTTCCAAGGAATCTGTCTCACACGGCATCACTCACAATGGCTACCCGCGATGCTCTTCATTTCTCGCCCTCCAACAGTGAACAGATTGACCCCTACATCACCCAGCCCAATCATTCCTCTCATTCCAAGCCCTTTGTAACACTTACATTTGCTACATCCCTCGATAGCCAACTTTCTCTGGCTCCCGGCGTTCAAACTGCACTTTCAGGCCCCGACTCCAAAGCCATGACGCACTATCTTCGCTCAAAGCATGACGCCATTCTGATTGGTGTCGGTACGGCAATCGCAGATGATCCTTCGTTGAACTGCCGGATAGGAGGCGTGGGTGGATATGGAGGTGAGGGTTTGGAGGGGCAACCGAGGCCCGTAATCATTGATCCAAAGTGCAGGTGGGAGTTTACAGAGGAGAGTAAAGTGATGCGGCTTGCGCGAGAAAGAAAGGGAAAAGCACCGTGGGTGATCACGCAAACTGAAATGAGCGAGGGGAAGAGGAGAATCTTGGAGAGTGTGGGCGGCAAAGTCCTTGCTGTGTGTTCGGTACCTGCACTGCCAGTAACTGCGTCCTCTGAATGGGACGATTTGTTGAAGGCGCTTGCGCGCGAAGAGATCAGAAGTGTAATGATTGAAGGTGGAGGCAGGATCATCAATGATTTGCTAGGCGCGAAAAATTTCAACCTGGTTGATTCGGTTATTGTTACAATCGCTCCGACTTGGCTAGGTGAAGGAGGCGTGCAAGTGTGTCCAGAGAGGCGTATGGAAAATGGGAGGCCACTGCCTGTTGGGAGATTGACAGATGTGAGGTGGATTCCATTGGGCGAGGACGTAGTGCTATGCGGACGTCCCAAGCGGTGGCAATAGCAGTATGCATACTGATCCAGTATTCATTGGGCCAGAAATCTCCGGCCATGCATATCGAAGGATTAAAATTATTGTGCCGCACTATCGTGGCTCCCTTGCGTCTCTGGAGCAGACCATGGCAGTTGTTCGGGCACTCGTCCACGTAAGATTTGCTTCACACTGTCCTCCAAGCCCTCCTCCAGGTCAGCAAGACAGCTGTCGTTCCATCCACGCTGCTTCCTCTTTCCACCCAAGACTTCTCCCAATCCCAATGGATCCATCTTCCAAGGCTGGTAGCCAAATTGCTCCTCGCCACGAAGTGTACTTTTAAGCTCCGCACCTGACATGACTGGATCTATACCTTGGACCTGTATTCGATCTGCTGGCCACCGGATCGCAGGAGCATGCAAATCCAAGAAACGTGCAGATTTGAATGCGTGAGTGATGACGCGGACTTGCTTCGGGTACTTTCCGGTAGTTTTCTTAAACAGCAGTATGCTGAAAAGAAGATTTTGGAGGGAGTCGATCGCCTGTTCCTCCAGCAGCACATAGCCTTTGCTGAACATACGATGAGCGCGGCCACCGTGCAAGTGCCCTTCAGCTAGCTCTTCGGCCAGGGCAGCATGGTAGTAGGATCGCGCTTCGCTCATAGGCGCCTGAGAAGGCTTCGTTGCTCCGCCGCTGAGGACCAAGAGGTTGGACGGCGGATGCTCCTGGTCTGTTCCCACGGTAAGTGCATCGAGGCCGGCTTTGACGTGTGCAAGAAATGTCTCATGCTCGCCTGGCTTTCCGGTCTCCTGACTGGACTTCTGAAATGGTGCTAATAACCAATTGCTTTCATCATGAGGACTATGCAAGGGAAATCCTGTCGTACCAGCATCCGGGAGGAAGATGGCATGGCAGCAAACGATTATGAGGTTTTCAGCCCTAGGATAAGTTGGCGGGGGGATGACATGGTCTGGATGAACAAAGTCGGGATCTTCAGGTATCTGCCAGCCGTGGATGCGGTTGGCGTGCGCTGCATCCTCCTTTGTTGCTGAGCCTGTACTGATGGATGTGCGAGTTGATTTTGATTTTGGCAGGCTTGTTAACGGCGCGGTAGAAGCCATGCGAAGATTAGATGGTAGCACTAAGATGCCCCTGCCCCTGTAGTTTGCTTTGAATTGTTGGTGAGACGCTCAAAGCTTGTCTGCTATGGTCAGCCTGGCGCAATTACAGAGAGACTTTGGATCGCACCCGCTGGCTCTAAGATTTACAATGATGCAAACATGCTTGTAGTGTGCATCATTGAGAGATTGGACACTGCAAAGCGTAGTCGGTTACTGGGATGTGGTCATTGGTTGATGGTGGAAGTGGTTGAACATGTTTGTTGGGACCGATGACGATGACAAGCAGCCTGTTGAATCCTCGTTCCCCTGCGCCACAAGTCAAGCAGAACCGGGAAGCGAGCACAGAAGAGGAGGCAACAGCAAAGTCAATCCTTGCACTGGGTTGTATAAAAGAGAGATGGGATCGAGGAGATGTTGAATATCTTCATGGCGGCGGGAGTGAGTGGCACATGGGTCCAGCAGAGGAACAAGCAAAGATGAATGGGGGGAAGAGGGTTTCACGACATGTTTGGTTTGGTGAGCACATGTGCAGCTCTGGTACGGTAGCGGCCGCCAGCGATTCAGTAGATTTGCCTCGAGATGGATTTGATCAGAATTTGATGTTCGTGGATGAATTGCACTGACTGAAATGAAAAGTATAGAGCAGCATGTACTCTGTACTCTACATGGCATGCTGTAGAGTACACATCTGTCTTGAATGATAGGCTAGGTATCGGTCAACACGTTAACGGGGGGGCTCCACTGGGGAGATTTCAGGTACACCGACTACGACCCACGGCACGACCCTTCTTCGGAAATCTTGGACCCTGCCCCAGGTGGCGGCCCGTTTACTTCCTCCCACACCCATAGAAAGGGCAGACAGAGGTACATGGCCGAGTCGCTGACACTGTCAACGACATGCTGTTATTGCTTTCTGTCGAGTAGACCCAGGACCGTTACCGGTAGTAGAATGTCATGTTTGGTTTTGAACAGCTGCCCACTCTCTGCTGGATTCCAGGTCCCGGGTGGAGCCAATGCACGGTGTCCTATGTCGGTAGCAGGTGGGATGAAATGTAACCCTATATATACTCTCTATACAGCATAGAGACAGATTCGGGCTGGGGGGGGGGGGTACAAGGTACAAAGCCAAAGGCTCGTAACATGGGCCGATCTCTAGTAGCTGCCGACGTTGACTACCCTACCTGCTGGTTGCCGTGTGCTGTCTCTCTACGGACGTCTAGCTGAGATAGTCTCAACACAAAAAACACCGGCAAGAATATCAAGCAGCCGTGATTTGGCAGGCATTTAGGGCGCATGCGTGTCATTTTGGGCTTAGGAGGTCGGCATAGGCGATGGGGGTTCAGTTTTCCTGCATTGAGGCTGAGCACAGCTGGTATGAAAGGCAGCTCTAAATATAGAGGCACGCCACACTTGCCTACCAGCATGTGCCCCGTTGACCGGGATGGATGGAGGCGTCGTCCCAAATCTCCCAAAGAATTCATTGCCCTTCACCGAGGAGACTGAAGAGAAAGGGAAGAAGTTGTAAAAAAAAAAAAGAAAAAAAAAAAGAGAAGAAAAGAAAAAAAAAAAGGGACAGACGATCCCTCGTCGTGTGTGCAAATGACAGCACGAGTCACCGTTGGTTTGATAAATGGAGACGGGGGCTGCCCGCATTGCGAAACAGCGAAGAGCTGGCTGGCCGACCAGTGAACACATTCCTGTCGCGTTTCATCGCGCCAGTTAGCGCTCCTTCCCCACCCACTGCCCATCGCCACTACCCTCCAAAACCCTCCAAAACGGACTAGCCCCGCCTCTCCCTCCCAGCTCCCAGCTCCCAGCCCTGAGCCCACGCCAAGTTCCACCGCCGCCGCCGCCGCCGACATTCTCCTCCTCTTTGCTTGCTTTTATCAAGGCACACGATCCCCACCCCT